AAATATAAATTAATTTAGACATTTAGACAATCATGGTCTCAATTGTCTAAAATGCTGAAATTGAATTTTTTATTGGAACTTTGTATATACACGTGACTTTTAGTTGTATTTAAAGCAAATCATTACTATTTATATTAATTTGGACATTTAGACATTTTTGTCTAAATACTATTTTGACTTTAGACAACCCCAAAAACAATTTAGACGCCATCTATAGATGTGGTAAGGAAAGATCAATTTTTTTAGCATCAGATGAACAAATAGTGAAAATAATTAGTAATAAATAATATATAAATTAATAAAATAAATAAGAGTAAAAAAAAAAGTTTTTTAACTAAATCAAAGAAACATCTCATTTTTTTTCATCTCATGTTTCCCAAAAAATTATGTTTAGTAAAAATTGATTTTTTTTATCAGCTCAATCTGGTCAATCGTTGTTCGCTCATTTACAATGAGCATTCTTCTACAACGTCTTATTTCCCGTACCACTGTTTATTCACAAATATAGGCAAACAAATTTAATTTACAAAAAAAAAAATAGTAGATCAAAACCAAAATCATACAATCTATCCCAAGTAAGGAAAAAAGCAGTGTTACGGGATTTTGAGCAATCTTTTATAAGTGTTAATCAATTACATGTGACTTATTACTCTTTCAATGACTCAAAAAAGTAACCAATATAAAAAATACTTTCATGTTTTACCTGATAAACCAGATGGTTATAATCACTTGGGTATCTGCATTGCTTGTAAGAGCTCTAATATAAATATCAATGAATTGAAAATAACTTTAACTAAAAAATTTGTCATAATCATTTGTTGAATTGTAAATTTTTTCAAAATAATTTTTCAGATGAGGAAGAATGGTTAAATTGGGTTGCTGATAATGATACAGAAACTACAATTGAAAATGAACTTTATAATAATGGTGAAGGTTTTATTGATACATCATCTAAAGAAATAAATAATTTACAAAATCTTTCTGCTCCAAATAAAAAGAGACTTGGGTATGAATTTTAATGTATTTATTTATTAAAAAAAGAATAAGATAAAAATAATAACTTTATTTAAATATCATTAATACGAATAGAAAGTCCAATGTAAAAAAATATTCATTATATCTTTCTCATTCTATAAAAGGTGATGATGGATCTTATAATCATGTATTTTTCCACAAAAACCATCTGCAAATCACCAAATCAATTTCTAAATAAGGATAACACGCACCCAACCCACCAATAAAATTGGATATTTTCATGATGCTGCGCAAATTTGCAGATGTTTTTTTGTGGAAAAATACATGATTTTATGGATCTTTATTTGTCATTGTTAATTTAAATGCTGAAATATGATTGGCTACCCCTTAGAATTGGTCCAGAGTCCAATAGATTTATTGGACTGGACTGCTTGGACTGGTCCAATAAGTCCAATTGCCAACACTGACCTCACATATTTTTGAGTACTTTAAACAATTATGAATTTATGTCATATAACATAAATTAAATTTATCACAGTGATCATCAAATTGTGACATAAATGGGATCTCCACTATGCTGCCCGTTAATTAGTAAGCATGTAATACAAAAATTAGTATATTTATTGGACAAAATATTGTAAAAGTCATGTTATCTGTAATACCTCAAGAGGTATAAAAAGGCTTGGTTTTAGACCAATTGAGAATCATCATGTTCATGATACAATAATTTTCACTAATAAAGATACATAACACTTTTGCAATAAATAACCTTGTCCTTAATAAATAACATCCCTTGATAAAACTTTTCTGAAAGGCAATCTCATCTTAATTAAATACTATCCTACCTTTGGGATGCCTTAGCTAGAATAGTACTGTAGGGAGAGAACTACACAGTAAATTTATTTTTGGATTACTCCTGAGCTGTGTGCAAGATGGAGTGTGAGAATCCTTAGCTGAACCAAAACAATTAGCAAGGGAAATTTTGTATATTATAGGAAAAAATAATGGAAAAATCAATCAAGAAACAGAAATTTTTGAGAATGAAGAAAAAGGTATGGCTTGTTCTTTAAAATCCTCAATTGATTATATATCATCAGCTCTTGCTTCAATCAACAACATCCTACTCAAGAAAATAATTATCTTCATCAACAGCAAACTCTTCAAAATTTTTCTCCAATGACAACATCAACAACACCAATACCAACAACATCTAATCAATTGTATCAACAAAATCCAAATCTCAATAATATTTTGCAATCAAGTCAACAACATCCTACTCAAGAAAATAATTATCTTCATCAACAGCAAACTCATCAAAATTTTTCTCCAACATCAATGTCAACATCAAGATCAACAACACCAATACCAACAACATCCAATCAATTGTATCAACAAAATCCAACTTTCAATAATAATTTACAAGCAAATCAAAAACATACTACTTAAGAAAATAATTATCTTCATCAACAGCAAGCTCATCAAAATTTTGCTCCATCAATATCATCTAGTTCTGATGGAACTACTAAAGTATACTTATATTACTACTAATTCTTTTTATTAAACAAGAATTTCTTATTTATATATTAATGTGATCTGCATTGAAAAATTGTAAGAAATATTGGAGAAGAAATCAAACCATCTGGTTTGAGATTTAAGAAAGGAACAATTGACTGTGTTCAAAAGGTATTTTTTTCTTTTAAGATACCAAATTTTTTGAATTTTAATTAATACATCACTTTTAATGTTTAAAACAGATGGCAGAAACTAAGGTTGTGGGCAAAACTCCTCCAGAAATCAATTGACAGGTTACACATTAATTGTTTATTAGAGTTTCAGCAGAGTTTTGCATTTGGGAGTTTTGTCAATCATCAGAGTTTTGACAGTCACTAGAGGTTTTTGCAAGCAACCTTAGCAGTAACACAACTAAGGCTTTTGTTTTGAGATGCATGTGTATGCATAAATATTAATTATATAATTAAAAAAATATTTTTACTAATCATCATTTTCTTTTGATCAATCCAGTAACCTATGTGCAGTCCATACAAATGAGGATAACCACATTACCCAAAAGCATTGAATTTGCATCTCAGTTCTGAGAGCAAGTGCGCATTGAAATGTTGACAAATTAAAATTTTTCAAAATATTATCTGCTCAAAGAAAAATCAAGGAACTTGAATTGGCAAATTCATCCACCAATTTGAATTCCCATGAGAATATTCAACATCTGCCAAAATTAAAATATCCAAAATTAATATTCAATTAATAAATTAAAATAAATTATTCAAATTGGCAGATGAATTTTGGTGGAAAACTACACAATTATTTTTCCATCCACATAAAAAAAATTTATACTAATAATGTATACATATATGTGTGTCACTACTTCAATATTTTAGAAAAGAACCATAATTTGTATCTTTTGAATTTTCAGAAGAAAAGTATTGACTTAATTTAAAT